GAGGAATGATTATTAAATCGCCTCGTGAAGTTATAACCTTTAACAAATATTGCTATTCAAACATATATGTATATGTATATATGTATATATGTATATATATATATCTGGTAAAAGAGTTCAAATTTGCTTCAACTTTACCATTTTACTATAAACTAGTCAGCTGACTTTTACTTAAAAAGCAGAGTTGGAAAAGCAACTTTTGTTAAAGGTTATAACTTCACGAGGCGATTTAATAATCATTCCTCTGTTGTTGTTTTTTCTTCTCAGCACCTAAAGAGAAGCCGTGTTGCACCCTGCCCACAGTGAAGAAACTCTTGGAGCAGAAGAGAAGACGCGAGACGTCAGCTGTGCCTCCCCCCTGCTCCTCTGCCAGCACAAGTCCTCCAACTACCATCACAGTAAGACATCTCCCCGAGGGACTCAACGTCTCAACCAGTCTTGTGACATAAATGTGTCTTCATCACTTGAGCTGATTCTTTTCTGTTCCCTCTGTCAGGATCTCTCCACATCAAAACCATTTTCCTGCTCAGGTAAGAACTGGATCGCTTCAAGTGAGTTAAGGCCAAGACACTTAAAGGGAAGCAAAACCTGCAAGCCGTTGTTTAAATGGTTTTGGTGGTACTAGTTGTATTATTTTTTCGCAACATAATGTCAATATTTCTGTCTGTTCTAGGTGCAGCAGTAAGCTACTCAGACATGGCAGTGAGCTTTGAGCATTGGCCGTCAGCCTCTGAAAGTTACTACGCCAGCCCTCAAGGACCAAGCTATGCTGCAGCGTACAACGTCCCAATGACGCCTGAATACAACGCTCAGCAGCAGCTGCCAGTTTATGATGCGATGCCTCAGACCTATGTGAGACGAATGCTTTAAATGCAAGCCACAACATGCTATATTGGGTTCTAAGTTCATTAAGATGTTCTATGATTGAACTATTTTGTGCAGGATTGCTCAGTGGCTCTTGCGGACCCCAGTATGGCTTCATCTTGGCCACTCCTTGGTCCCAGTCAGTCCACGCAGCTCATCTTCGATCCGTCGATGGACACTGCCAAGCTGGAGGAGGCCCGAATGCTGCTCAGCGGGATGGACTACAACAGAGCCATCTGTCAGGACGAAGATGGAGACACGTGAGTGCTTAGGAGAGTTCAGGTTCATTTAACCGTTACTGGTTAATATGGAAACTTTTATTTGTTCATTTGTTTTTGTAATGGAGATCTTATCATAGATGTTTTGGAATTTTGAGTGAGTTCTGTAGTCCCCTATCCACACCAACAGGAGTGATTGTTTCCTGCTGCACACGAGCTGCTTCAAACACCTTATTTGTGTTTTTCTCAACTTAATGACATTTCAAAAGTTCAACATCTACAGTTAATATCTTACCTGTTGTAGATAACTCTTTGAACAACCTCATTTTGAAGACATCAAATTATGAAACTGGATTCACGAGCTTAAAGTTAGTCCAAGTGAGGCCAAGAAAAAGGATCACTTATATCTTTAAACTACACAAATTTAGAAAATGTTATTAAGACTCATGTAAATATGTTTATTTTATTTTTTTTAGAAATCCATACATTTTGCATTACATACAGTAATTCAGGAGAATTATTATGAGATTCCTTCAGGACGTTTCCCATGCTACACCAGAAGTGCTACAGCTAGCTGCTATAGCTGTTTGTGCTTGTAAACAACCAAAGAAATAACCATGTCATGCAAAACGACAGTTATTTAAAATTTTTCTAAACAGCATTCACATCAATTGCTATGAACGTTTTGAGACTAGAGCAGTTTTAGGACAGCATAAATCCACTTTGGTATTGGCCTCACTTGGACTTGCCAGGAGCTCATCAATTTGTTCAGAGTTAAACTCTTATTTCTCTCAGCTGAGGTTGTTCTAAGAGCTATCTACAGCAGGTAAGATATTACTTATTTATAACTGTTCCTTCGAACCACATTTTAGACTGTATGAATGATTACTTTAAAAAATAATGTAAAGCTACTGTTTCCAATCAGCCTGCAGAGTGAAAGCTTTATCAAGAGAGGCGGTAACAAAAGTTACAGTTTAAGAAATAAAAATGTGCTTTTCAACCGGATTAGACTCCAACATATGAATATTGAGTCTGGTGGAGAACATAATAAAGGTTTGTAAAAATCCTAGAATTTACTGCCTGTAAACATCATGAGTAATACAGAGAGCACCCCCCCCCCCACACACACACACACACACACTTTTGAAATGAGTGAATTGTTTGTCTGTGTAAAAGTACACAATTTATTTACTACTGTAGGAGTTTCGTTTTCAGTCATGAAGTTAAAGTGAGAACCACATGGAGTTTTGTAAATTTGGAATGATTAAAAAGAACTCGTCAGTGAGTCAGCAGCTCATGCTCGATGATTAGAAAGTAAAATATAATTAAATTAAATGTAATTCGGTTTGTTTATAAAGTGCCAAGTCACAACAGAAGTCGTCTCAGGGCACTGAACAGAAACATTCACGGACATTATAAAAGCAAATGAATAAAAGTTATCTGTCTGAGGAAGGAAGTCAGCAGGTTGTGTTGAATCGTCACTTCGTCGCAGTCTCCCATCCTGAGCAAGCACAAAGGCAACAGTGGAAAGGAAAAACTCCTTTTTAACAGGAAGAAACCTCCAGCAGAACCAGGCTCAGGACGAACGGCCATCTGCTTCGACCGGCTGGGGTTTGAGAGGACAAGAAGGACAAACAAACAAACATAAGAGGTCCATGTGTACTTTCTATAGGAAGCCATAAAAACAAATGTTAAGATAGAAATAATTACAAATACAAACAGGCAGAGTAAGTAAAGACAGCAGTAGAGTGAGGAAATGTGGTCACTTTGTCCTCCAGCAGTCCAAGCCTACAGCAGCATAACTAAGGGATAGCTCAGGAAACCCAAGCTGCCCCTAACTATAGGATTTATGCAAAATGAAAGACTTAAGCCGAATCTTAAAACTGGACAATGTGTCAGCCTCAGACAGAAACAGGAAGTTGGTTCCACAAGAGAGGAGCCTGAAAGCTGTCTACTTTTGGAAACTTTAGGAACCACGAGTAAACCTGCAGCCTGAGAGTAAAATGCTCCGTTAGGAAATGGAAAAACAGGTTCAGCAGTTCATTTTCATGGAGATTACCACCATGATTCAGTCTGATTTTTAAGGAATGCATCCTTCGTTTTTGCTCCTCTGTCAGGATCCTGCACATCTACACAGCTAAAGGACTCCGGGAGTGTGCCTTTGTTGCTGCAGAAAAGCTGAGGGATCTCGGGAAACTCGATGCCAAAGAACACAAGGGAAAGGTTTGAATAAAAGCACGCATTTCTTCTCATTTGAACTTTTCATATTTGTTGTTGTTCCACAAACACAAGTGCATAAATATAATATGTATAATAAATGTGTTTACACAGACAGCTTTATTGGTGGCCGTGACGGCAAACCAGCCAGAGATTGTGCAGGATTTGTTGTCATTAGGGGCGGACATCAATGCCTGCGATGTTAAAGGACAAACTGCCCTCCATTTGGCTGCTCACTATGGGTTCCCAGGAGTTCTGCAGGTAAAGATGCAGTAACGCCGAAATCCTTTGATGTTTAAAAATATTACTTAGAGATTAATTCACTAAGCTTGTGTTTACTTTTTATTTTCCTGTAGGCTATTCTTTCAGGCCGACCAAATGTCAACTTGGAGGCCCGTAATTTTGAAGGTAGTTTGAGTTGATGTTAAAATGCAAATGAATAAATACCGAGATTGTTTTAGCTTACTGTGCAAAAGTCTTGAATCTCCCCTCGTTTCTTTTTATGTTGCTTCCAAAGAACCAGACTTCTAAATTAGAATGAATCAGGCAACATTAAACTTGTTTCAAATTCTTAAAATAAACCCATGAAAAATATAAAAAAAAACAACAGTTTAGTGCTTTGGAGCTTCAAAAAGCCCAAAGTATTACTAATGAAGACCATTAAATTTTTTTAAAGGAAACTGGCTTCTTGGAAGCAAACCGTTAGGGGTGCTTGAAACTTTTTCTGCCCTTCCTAATTTAAATGTGATTCATGCCTTCCTTCTTCTCTTCAGGTATGACTCCTCTTCACTGTGCAGCTGTTTCCCACTGTGTCACCATGAAAGCTTTGTCAGCCATGGGACTGGCAGATGTTCACCTTCAGACCAAAGCTAACGAGAAGCTCTCGTGCGTTCAGATGCTGCTCGGTGCAGGAGCGTCCCTCCTCAGCCAGGTACCGCTCATGACCAACATGTCGAACTGTGAACGTTCAGTGACGATGTGCAGCTCGTTGTGGGAAGTTTCATGTAATCAAAGTTCTGTCACAGTGTCTTTCATTTTCACTGTCTCCTTTGACTTTTAAATGCCATCACTTGATTTGTGGTTTCATTATTGTTCCTGTTCTTCAAATTCCAGGAAATCAAAAGTAACAAGACACTGTTGCATTTGGCTGTAAAGGAAGGGAACATTGACCTGGTCCGCTACCTGCTGCGGGTTCCCCTGCACAACGTGAAAGACTTTGTCAACATGAAGGTGAGTCCTGCACTGAAACTCCTTTTCTTGTCAACTTTATTTATAGAGCACATTTAAAACAGAAACTGTTATCAAGGTCCTTAACAATAACATCAATGGGAATAAAATTAATGACAAAAAAATCCCCCACACTAATAACACTGAAGAATTAATAAAAAGCATTTAAAACATAGGAACACAGAACAAAACAGTGTAAATGGATTAATTAGATGAAAACACTCAGTTGTGTCACTATGCACATTAATAATTACACTCATTAAACAGCCCGAGTCACACTGCATGGATGCTTTTTGTTACAGGCTCATGGGCACACAGCGCTGCACATGGCGGCCGGTCTCCATGGCAACCCGTATCAGGAGGAGATCCTGCAGTTGCTCCTGAGCAGAGGAGCCGATCCCAGCATCCGCAACCTGGAGAACGACCAGCCGGCGCACCTGCTGCAGAGCGGCCACCAGGGAGAGCAGGTACGCTTCATCTCACACCCTGACGTTGTGTTTCACCGTGAATCAAACGTCTAAATATCACACATCTAATTTCTCATGTCCAGCTCAAGCTTATGCTGAAGAAACGAAGTGCTTCGTCACGTCGACGTATCGTGTCCTTGCGGGACCAGGAATGATTTCAGACCTCTTGTAATCCCCATTTGGAGGGAATGAGTTTTAAAGGTGGTTCCTCTGTTAAGAAGAGGAAATATGTTTATTTTTATAAAATTCTGGGAGTCTTGGGTCTAAATATGCTCATAAACAAACTAGATTAGCTTGGATTTAGTTTATGTCTTTTTTTTTAACACGTCGTTAATTATTTTTGGGAAGCTAAGCCTTCTGTGATCTTAACCCTCCTGCTGTCCTTGGGTCAAACTGAGGCCTCGGGTCATTTTGACCCAAAGATAATTCACAAAACAATATTCTGCTTTAATTTAATTCAAACTTTTGTTTGAATTTGTGGAATATAAAAACCTAATTTGAGAAATTGATCTTTGACAAAATGTTTATGATTCTGTGGAGAAGGCATGAACAAGTATCGTCTTACCTGCTGCTCTTTTAACAACTTTAGTTTGGAGAAATTACTAATTCTTACTGGAATGATGAGCTAACAGCAAGTCTTTTGTCATCTTTAAACTTAAATCTTAAAAATTTCAAAGTATTTTATACTGTTTAAAGTCAGTTTTATATTATGCAGTTATTTACACTGAAAAATGTGATTACTAGCAGAATAGAAGCTAACAGCTCGTCTGACTGGGGCCATGACCAGCGTGAAATGCTGCCATATTAAGTCCAAGCAAAAAAGTATTTCATAGATGTTCAAATTTAATTGTATATTTTTTGTATTACATTTAATTTAGCATTACACTGATTCCAACAGCATATTCTTTTATTCCAGACATGCTACAGCTAGCTAATGCTATTCACACTTCGTTTCATGCTAACCGTAAAATGCTAAATTGACGGCAATGTAGCCACTTATAAAAAAAAAACTGTCCACGTGAAAAGCTTTAAATTTACCAATCTGAGTTGTTTTAAAACAGCAGCAATTCATTTTGGTTTGGATCCCACTCAAACTAGCCATTAGCTCAATAGTCAAAATTAAACTAAAGAGCCATCTACAACAGGTAAGATATTAGTTGTTCACAACCTCTCCACAGAACTTCACATCTAAATATCTGAACTGAGCTAATAATTTTCCCATTAAGCTCATCTCCCAGTTTAAAGTTGATTTCTATGAAATCGTTTGAATACGCTCCAGGACCATGTCCCTGAAACCCGTCTGTCTCCGTCCCTCACAGGATATCATAGTGATACTCTGAGTTTTGAGTTTGATCGGCGTGTGTTACAACTTTTGTGTCTTTAAAGCAAGAATGTAAGTTCTTCTGTATGTATCATACATGCTGTATGTGTGTGACATTAGGTTCAATTTTCTTTATGGGGAAAACAGAAACTTTACTGTGTAAAACTGCTTTTATTTTCAGGACAGAGAATGTTCTTTCTTATTTTGGAGACATTAGACGAGTTAAGTGCGATGACAAATGGACTGACTCACTGTACATTTTACCTCTGAGTCATAAGTAAAAGTACAATAGCCCTGCTCCATCTGATTGTTTCATGTTGCAGACTTTGAACAGTCCCATTTACTCTCAGTGAGACAGATATGAGCAGGGTGGAAAATACACCGTCCCACCAGAACTGTCTGTGTAGCACAACTTTACACAAGGATTTACTCTTCAAGCCTCCGTTGTTCCTCCTGCTTTTACACACACTGGTACTTAATGATACACCAAGTGTCTGTCACTTTTGTGTCATCGTAGATGTTAGACTCGCAAAGTCTTCAGCACAAAAAAAGAGATTAATCTCGCAAGTAAAGCACATGAATATATTGTTTAAATACATTTTTTAAATTAATTTCAAGCCTACAGATGAATATATGAATGTTGAGAGTAGTCTTTATGTGAAAGTAGCCTAATTTTGTAGGCTTTACAACAATTTCAGGATTTTTGTTAACTTTTGCTTTAACTTGAAATTTCTTAATGCGGCTTTTTTGTTTCGAGGAAGCCATTTTAATGCCCATGGCATTACAGAATGTTGCTTTTGACTTGTCTCCATAATATATTATTATAAGTTTCATTTTATTTATTGTAATGTTAAGCTATGCTTTTAGAGCCCATGGACGATTGAGAAATGGAAGAGAAATCCAACCGAAGCCATGTTACATTTCATTAATAGAACGTTATTAACTCAAACTGGACAGTTTTATATGTTGTTTGTAATCATGCTGTTCATTTTATTGTTGCACTGAAGTAAAATACAACCTGTAAAACAAACCAAGCTTGTTTCATTTGTTTCATTAGGTGCATGTTTCATTTGTTACGCTGATGGGAATATTTGAAATTAACAGTATCTTGGCAAATTATTAATTATTACTTAATTAACATTACAGATTTAGGAATTGAGAAGTGTTGGGAAAACCCATTGTAATAATCATCCAGCTATCAGAACTACAGTAAAATAACAGAAAAGGTGTTTCCACAAAGCAGCTGACGAGACGTTTGCACATTTAGATCCTGCGATGACGTCTTTCTCCTCCTTCAGACATTTGTGACATTTTCTATACCGCTGGAGGAGGAACTGCAAAAGAGAAGGAACACACGAGACAGTTATAACTATTGATTAGGAGCCAAGTGGTTCTGATTTGAAAAATGGACTTACCTTCTGTCTTTGGAATTTGGGTGCCAGAAGAACTAGAATTTCTTTGTGAGAGAGAAGAGATATTAGTACCTAGTTAGGTGCTACTTCACAACGAATGCCCCTTTATAAAGGATTTATTAATGTTTTATAAACGAGTTGGCATTAATTATTGTTTATAAAATAGTTATAAAACACTGTTTATACATTGTTGCAGGCTCACTATTTGTTAAGATCAAGTGCTATACTTTTAATATTTTCTACATAATTTAGATTAACAAATGTTTCTTTTGCTATAAAAAGTCATTTAGTTAAAAATAATTAAAGTACAGCACTGGATCTTCCCAAATAGTGACACTTCTTCAGTGTATGAACTGTGTTTTATAAATGATTGTTAATGCTTTGTAAAGTGATTACAAACTCACAAATAACCTATTTATAAAGCTTTAATAAATCCTTTATAAAGGGGCCATGATTGTGAAGTGATACTCGTAATTAATTACATGTTATTTTAATAATTTACCAACATTACTTACAGTAAAATATATGCAAGTACAGTTTGAAAACTGTGGCAACAACTTAAAGTTGATCATTTAAAAAAAAAAAAAAATCAAGATTGCAAAACTGAAATGTAGTTGGAGCCACAGGGTTCTGATGAGTGCTGCTTAAAAACTTGTCCACATTTAGGTGGTTATTTTTTATTTATTAATCTATCACATAAACATGATCATTATCATCAGACTTGCACTCATTTCCTTAAAAGTAGATCGACTAACATGAATAAATAAATACTTATTTTTACAAAACACTAATCTGAGTAAGAAAATGGTGGAAATCATTGTTTTCATTATGTGCTATGAATAATTTTTAAAGTAATAACTTCAGTTAATAGAGTCCAATAAACACGGATCAACTTCCACCCAAAGGTTCCAGAAGGGTGACCTCTGACACGTTGGTGGGGCTTCATCATGTGAACGAGAGGCCAAACACACGGAGGTTTTGTGAATACCAGTAGGAATATTTCAGTGTTGCGTCCACACTGAAACAGTGATTTAGGAGCCTCAAAACAGTATCTTTTGAAAATGGGTTGCAGAGAGGACAAAATCTGGAAACAATTTGAGGCTATGACGACATTGTTTTCAAAATATTGCGTTTTGGCTGTCTACACAAAAACATAAGGGGAGACTTTGGAATCAGTTAAAAAAAAATAATACTGTTTTTGGGGCTTGTTCTTGTGTGGACGCACAGCACCATAGTTTTTACATTTTGTGTTTTCATGTGAATTACAACTTTTCTAGAAACGACGTAATGTTTACAGAGATAATTTTAGAAACGACAAATAAAAGGATTGTTTTGGACAAAAACTGTTTCTGTGTTGACAAGTGTTGAATTTAGGTTCCTTTAAATTTCTATTGAATTGATACATTATGTTAGTTATTAGTTCGTCAGTTCTGTCAGAATTATGGGGCGGCTGTGGCTGAGCTGTTAGAGCAGTCATCCTCCAATGCAAGAGTTGGGGGTTCGATTCCACCAGCAGTCACATACTGAAGTGTCTCTGGGCAAGACATTGAATCCCCTCGTTGCCTCTGATGTGTGTCCCATCGGTGTATGAATGTGATAAAGCTCTGATTATTCTTTGTAGAGATCTAGTAGAGTGCTGTATGAATGGGTAAATGTGGACACAGATTGTGTTGTAAAGAACTTTGTGTATCTCGATAAGATAGAAAGGAGCTATATAAGTACAGTCCATTTAGAATGAGATTATTCTCAATGTACATTGTTCAAAGAGTTACCTACAACAGGTAAGATGTTATTTTTTTATAACTGTTACACAGAAACACACTTTAACAGATATGAACTATCCATTTAAGTCCAAATGCTATTTTTAGCATTCAATACAATAACCTACCGGTACCGATAATCATTTGTAATAGTTCATAAAGACTAACTTCTGTGTTTAGCAATTTCAAATTTATTTGCATTTTACTTTTTCTTATTCTTATGACATGACACACTTTCTATTCAGATTAATTTCAAAAGCACATTAGGTCATCTTTTTCTGATCTTTCTGTTATAATTCCTTTTTTTTGTGTCCTATCGATGATGGCATTTCCAAATAAAGAGAAATATACTTGGACTTCAACAATCATGTTTCACTGAAGGAGGTTTTTACACAGAATATGAGTGTTGTTCTTCCTTAAACACTTCTCATTTAAACAAACAAAACTATACTTTGGTCTTAAGTGACCTTGGCTTCCTTCGTTGACATCAGAGTCTCTGATGTGCTGTTTCTGAAGGGATCTTTGTTGGTTGATCATTACTGGTAATCATTACTGGCACAGTAATACAATTAACCATTCCATACATAAACTGTCTGTTTTAGGATTTGTAATCTTCCAAGTCTTTAGGGACAATTTTGTGACCTTTTGTCATCCTGATTAACTCAAAGGCAATTACATTTTTGTCTCATTTGCTTAAAAAGTCTATTTTTTTTAATCCATTTTTGTTTGCAAGTCCGATGATTTCCTTTTCTCATGTTTATGCATCAATCCAGAAAGTTAAAAAGTGTGCACACCTTTTCAAGCAGCACTGCAAAAACAAGAAAGTTCACAGCGTCTCTTCTCTTTCTGCTCATTTTGCCCTTCAAGCAGCATGCAACCGTCAGAGGAAACGCCCTGCTCATTCTCGACCAACACATACAGGTTAGGTTTAAATGCATACGTTTACAAAGAAAAGCCTCAAGACCAAGCACAGAGATAAGTGGGGGGGTGGGGGGGTTCCTGCACAGACACATCTATGCGCTGGGAGTTTAGGTTTTGTGAATGGAACAGGGAAAAGGGCTCAGAGAAGTGGCATCCAGGGCAGGCAAAGAAAAAGGAAAAACTGGACAGTTAGTTATTTTTTCAATTTATATGAAAGAATTTGATATATTTTTTTTTACTCCCCAGATTGATTACGTAATCAGTTCATCTGCATACAACATGCACGGGCGGATCAGCCGCTAATTCTTGCACAGCTCTTACTTGGACGAGGATTTTACACATTTTGTGAATTTTTTACCTGTTTGGGGAATGATAGATAAGTTAGAGGTTATCTGAAGTCTAAACACCACCGTGACGTGAAAATAACCTAAACTTACTCAGGGCTATCAAAATGCCAGAGACAAACATGACGACGGCGAGGACGACCCCCGTGGTCCGCAACGTCTCGTAATCTAGGAGACAAAAACACACGTGACTTGAACAAACAAACCCACTGGAAGTTTTCTTCAGACACGGCAGACGAAAACACACAAGTCAATATGTTGGAGAGGATTTATTGAACTTAAAAGATAAAGAGCTGAAAACGTTGAAATTCTTACCGTAATTAAAGTCACTTTGGTCTGGAAATGTCTCTGCAAAGATAAAGAAGAGCTCAATTCAAGATAGCAGACAGTAAGGAGCTTTAGGTAGATCTACAGGGTTGAATAAAACTCTTTAGGGGAGTAAAAAAAAAAAAAGTGCCACTGTAGGTGCTCTGTGCAGCACCTTTTTGCTCAGCAGGAGAAAAAAAAAAAAAAATCTGGGTTCAAGCCAGCAGCAGAAAGAACAAAGTGGTGGGGTTTGGATAGAAAAAGAGAGTGAAGTCATGGAAAATATGCACATTTTGTCCATTTTTTAGTGCAAGCTGAGGTTTCTACTCTGCACTGAACTTATTTTACTAACAGTTGCACTGCAGGGTACAGACTGTGCCAGCTTACTGGGCTCCCTGGGCGTCAATAATGCAGCTCAGCTTCTAACAGATGAGCTTCACCGATTTCACTCGTCCACAAACTAAACAAATAAAACGGTTTCATTTCCAGAGAAATACTTAATATTTCTGTTTTTAGTTGGCAGATTACTTATGAATCTCTCTTCTGACACCGATCTGTACACATGCACTTTAACTTGCTTCCATCACTGTATAGTAAGATTGCAGAAAAGTAATTACTCACAGAAATATTAGCAAATAACACTATTTAATATGCCCAAATTGAATTTCATTGCAAAAAAAATGATTACATATATAAATATATTTTAACTACATGTAACTATGCTCTATGTACAAAAAGCTGTATTTAAAATTAAAGATGCAAACCTGATGTGGCCATGGCTGCACTGCGGAGACGCCGAGGACTTCTGTCTGCTGGAAGTCTAGCAAGTTGCTGAGCTGCAGTTGAAGTCTGGCTGAGGATGAAGAAAGTGGACAGTGCAGCAGGAAGAAGTGCTTAGTGAGCCTTCAGAGGGAGCTCATACCGGGTCCCTCTGCTGGTCAGAAGCAAACATTACAGCTTTTGTTCAGTCACTGGTGCAATCCCAGCCCTGATGAACCAAACAGGCTGAGGTTCAAAGTTGACAAGTTAAGAAAATCCATTCTAAAATGGACACAATGACTGCCCAGTGTTTCACATCTTTTTGAGACAACTACACTCTTTTGTAATCGTAAACTGGGAAAAAAAAAATTCAGATTATTTTCCACTTTTCACAACAAACCCCCCCTTTTCTAATCCCGAGGGCCATCTTAAAGCAGGAAGCACGAGTCTCGTATTGAGAATGCGCCAGTATCCATCTAATGATCTTTGTTGCAGTGCAGTCAGCCTGTTCAGGGAGAGCGTGGCCCTCATGCTGTTTGAACCTTTTCACTACGACTAAAACATCTCATTTAGCAGCACATAAAACAGGGACGTCCACAGTGGCGTTTCAGCAGAGCCTCTGTGATGAAGCTGCATAATGCAGCACGTCGGTGAGCCCACACTCCCCGCTGGCTGTTACTACTGCATGTGTAAGAGAACCGTCCGCAGAGTCAGCAGAAACACGAGCGCAGCGCTACACCGGCTGCTGATTCACAACTGTTGTTAAATAAGCTCGGATCATTTGACAAGGAAATAATAAGATCTAGCAAAGAGGGTTTTCTAAAATGGGATTTATTATTTCGCATCTTTTTTTCAAAAGACAAAAATTCAAACAGTCGTCGCACTCTCGCTGCTGTATAAAGTTCATCTAGTGACTGATAAAAGCACAAAAAGACGAAAACGAACAGAGACATGATGGGTTTGAAGAAAGCAAAGCTCGTCCTCTGCTGTCGTGGCGGCGTTTGCTGCCATCTAATGGGAACACTCGGAGACACTGTTGAAAAAAAGGTGCAGCCGTGAGTTTGGCTCGTCTTCTTCAGCTTCTTATTTAAAGCACTGTTTTTCACAAGACTTACCAGGTGTTCCATGTTGGTTAAGCTGCAAAAAGAGTTTAGGTGTACTGTTTAATAACTAGCCACCAGATCATCGTCGGTTCATATTTCCAGTTAAAAGATGTAAACAGAAAGCTCCATATTTACCCCTCTGGAAACCTGGTTGAACATCAGAACCTCTGGATCTGAGGAAAGTGAAAAGATTTGGTCATAAGCAGAAGCTGCACATTTAAAGTAGCTACAAAACTGTAAATAACATATACTTTGTAGAAATGTTACAATTAATTGAAAAGAAACAAACAACTGTGCTCTAATGTTAAAATGTACATTTTTTTTTGTAAGTTCAAATGGACCCACCTTGACTTGTCGCTCTTTGAACAAGTACACTTCCTGCCTGTTTTTGGGGCAGAAAGGTAAAAACAAAGAAGTTGTGTTCAACTTGATACTTTATATTTGTATTGGAAATAATTTCGCAATTGTAGCATTTTGGAGATTCATAAACACACATCAAATACATTTTTTTTTGTCCCTTACAGTAAAAATCTATGGGTTTACCATGTTTTCCCCAAATGATCACGCATGGTCACCTCATCAGTCGTAAATAATTTAGTGGGACTCTCCTCCTCTGCCAAGCTGTCTCTCTGCTTGTTTGTAAAAAAGAAAAAATGTACAGACTGCTGCAAACTGTGCTTCATGAAACTCACATACTGGAATATGATATTTATTGGTAACTTTTGTGTCTGCAGTAGAAATAACTAGTCAAACTGAGCAAATCAACTCTGTGACCCAAAATGGAACAAGCGGGTAAAGATAATGGATAAAATTAAAGTATAAACTTTTTCACAGATGAATTTTAAAGCCTTTATTTTGATTTAAAAAAATATCCACATAGTATGTGTTTTACTAATACTAAATGTTAGAAATGAAAACAAAAATTGTATAAATGTAGTTTTTTTTCTCTGCCTATCTTTGTACCTCAATATCAAACAAAAATATAAACAATAACACTAATATTAATTGCTATTTTGATCACAGACTGATACTTCAGTCACACAGTTTGTTTTGTATTTTTTATAAATCTGTGAACATGTTTGTATTTTTCTACTGCAGATACAAAAGTTACCAATAAAAGTCGTATATGGGAGTTTTCAAGGAGCACAGTTTGAAGCAGTCTATACCTTTTTGTTGCAAACAGAAGCAGAGAGAAAGCATGGCATAATACTAAATTATTCACAGCTTAGTTTCGGTTTCAGGACTCCGAGCGGCAGAAGCAGCAGAGCTGGCAGGTAGGAGCCGAAGCTCTGAAAGGACACTGGGAGTGAAACAAAGCCTGAATCGCTGCGAGTGTGCCGACAGCGCGGGGCTCTGAAGCACACCTCGGAGAGGAACGGGAGTTTTCGCATCGGCTGAATTTGGGAGCGTGCGTAAAGGTGACACAGACGCTTGACATTCCACATGTGCTGTGTGTTTCAGCACTTACTGACAATCAGAGCAATGCCCAGGAGGAAGAGGATCACAGCGAAGACCAGGCCACCGATCCTCAGAGATTCATAATCTGAAACAAACAAACAAAAAAAAGCTTATTCTAGAGTGCACAGGCTTGTTAAAAACTTCAATTTCAAAGATCATAAACTATAAAGGCTTTCTGAGGTCTTTGGTTAGGCTTCTAAATTGCTCTTGCGGAGTTTTAATTACAGTCCTCACATGTTGGGAAACCACAAATTCCTTCAAGCTGCAAAGCTGTAAACATCAATTTAAACTCTGAAGCTTGTACGAAGCCTCACAGTTCCTGTAAACTGTGGCCAAAATGTTTTCTGCAACAAGAACGTGAACGATAAACTCAAAAAATGCTACTATTACTGTGCAGGAATCTGTCCAGCTTCATCTGCTGAGTGAAACAAGGTGATCATATGCTCTGCATGCTGGCTTTGTCTCCAAACTGAGGAACAAGTGTTTGAAAGAAAGAAAAGATTAAAGATAAAATAATATATATACGGTGGGGAAAAATATTCTCTGTGCTATTCAGTCCAGTGATTTCCATCAAGTTTTTGCCTTTAAAAGGACGTGTATCTTGAGACAAACAAACATGAGCGTTCATGGGCTGGCTGGAGAATTATAAACTCCCCCGGAGGCGGGAAAAGAATAAACAAACAAGCAAAAAAAAAAAAAAAGCTGTAAATATCTGTCAGATTTATCTCACGCCCTCTTTAGGGATCTCTTACTGTTGGAACAACAAAATACCAAGAGATTAAGACTGAATGCTTTAAGTGAATTGCAGGACGTGGGAAGATGTAAGAAAAAGTCTTCCAACAAAAAAAGTATAATTGTTTTAATCTCTGTAAGTATGAGCCAAAACATTAACGGAAAAACTCTGGTAGAAATGGTTTTAACACTTACTGGGGAACAATAATCCATAATGGCATAATATAAAAAAATAATACATTTTGAAGTTATTTTTCTTAGCAGTACTAAAGCAATAATCTTTTAAAGAAGGATTCCATGGGAGAGCTATGAACAGTTAGTGTCTTACCTGTTGTAGATAGAACTTTGAACGACCTCAGTTTGGAAAAATAGCTTAATTCTGACCAGACTGACAAGTAAATGGCTAGTTTGAGCATGGCCAGAATAAAAATGGTGTTTTAAAACAGCTTCTATCTCAAGAATTTCAGAGCGGTTCATGCAAACGCTGATTTATAAACTTTCCACTGCAATCAGTTTGTCATAACACAGTTCATTACGTAGAATTCAGGAGTTAATTGCAAGAGGGATGTAAAGATTCATTAAAAAGAATTTTCCTGTACTGCTATGAAATTGGGGGAGTGGTGACGCAGAAGTTAGAGAAGGTGGGTCTGTGATTGGAAGGTCGCCGGTTTGACTCCCCGAACTGAAAACATCAAAATGTGTGTGGAAAAGGTGAAGAACCCACACCTGCCTCCACCCTCATTTGCTCCACTCTGAGCAAGGCCCTTAACCCGCACCATCTACTCCCCTAGCAGCTCTCTGCTCCACAGAGGGCTGTGGTAGCTCGGTGGTCTGTGGTTGCGTCAGGAGGGGCATCCTGCGTAAAAACAATAGGCAAGTCTTCATGTGAGTTGTTCGCTGTGGTGACCCTTGAGGAAGGGAGCAGCCGAAAGAAGAAGAAAAAAAGTACTGCTATGAAATCCCTGAGTTGTTTCAGGACAGCAGTAATGCACCTCAAGACAGGAGACGCCTCCAAGCTGCCGCGGTGTGATTTCTGAATGTGCTCTGGCACCAATGGGGTCAAAGCCAACCCACCTCTGATGTGTCTTTGTGCTGCAAAGCAAGGTAGTGACAGAGACTAAACCATGGGTGTCCAGTCCTGGTCCTCGAGAGCCACTATCCTACATGGTTTACTTGTTCACCTGCTCTAACGCACCTCATAATTTCAATTAGTTCATGTTCTGCAAAAGCCTGTTAATCACCCATTGATTCATATCAGGCGTGTTGGAGCAGAGAAACACCTCAAACTTGCAGGAGAGTGGCCCTCCAGGACCAGGATTAGACACTCAAGCTGGTGCCAAAAGCTGAACGATGTGATGAAGGGATGGACACCCGGTCAAAGGATTAAAAAACAACCAATAGATCTATTACTGAAGGAAGATTGATAATGGCAAACAGCAACTTTGTATTCAGTTTAGAAGAACAGTTAACTACAAAAAACCCTCTAAACTGAGTTCATTCGTCATATTTCGAAAACATTACGAGGAAGATGTTGAGGAAAGTCAGATTATCAACTGGGACCATGTGTACATAATTTCGTTCCATCTCATGTACAACATGTGGTGAAATGACAATAAACCTACTTAAACTTGAACTAGCAGTAAGATCCTCAATCTGGTCTGAATTATTATTATTATGTTTCCATACAGTAAGGAAATTAGTTCTCTGCATTTAACCCATAACAAGTGAGATACACCCAGGTGGAGCAGTGGGCAGCTACAGTATGTAAGCGCCCGGGGAGCAATTGGGGATTGGGCATCTTGCTCAAGGACACAACGGCATATGGGCATGGCGGGGAGTTGAGCCTGCAGCTTTCTGGTCCCAGGTCAGCTGCCATACCTCTACTCCATTTCGAACCCCATTTAATAAGCTACTTCTTCAAACTGAGACTGGTTGGAGAGTTATCTAAAACAGGTAGGATATTATTTGTCTATACTAACTTTGCAACAGAACACCTATTCAAAAAAACTTTACATTTGCTTTAAACATCTACTTTTTTTGCATAAGAAAGACTAGTGCTCCAACAAGAAACGAGTGTGTGTGGTGTGTGTGTGTGTGGGGGGGGGGGGGAACACCATGAGTGTGAATACACTAAAACTATTCACAAGTACACAACCAAAGTCAGAATTTGACTGTTATTTTGTGTCCATCTCTGCATCCTGGCCACTTGTGTGCACTTTAAACTAGTTTTGCAGACAGGATCTGAAGTGTTTGTTTTGAGGCTTTTCCAGGAGCTTTCACTGGGGGGGGGGGGGGGGGGGGATTTTCCATCACCTCTAGAAAAAGAAGCAAATAGAAGTGCTAACTCGTCCCGACCTCCCAGATGTTTTCTATGTGTGCTCAGCACACTCACCGTATTGAAAAGCACTGTCAAAGTCTGTTGGAGAAAAAAAAAAGACAGATGAGAGGAAGGTTTTACCAGCGACACACTTCAGAGAGCGCTCATTAGATGACAGATTTTCAGCTGTTTCAGGACTTCAGTCAACCATAAAAACAATTCATTTTGATGTCAGCATCAATTTAAACGCCGTCTATGAGTAAAACTTGACTAATTTGACTAATAATATATCTTTTCTGAGCTTCGGCTCAGATTATACCCACCTTTGTCATTGTCTGCTGCTGAGGCTGTGGAAAAAAAAAAGATAAATCATCAGTTTTTACAGGAAACTCAGTCAGTGGGGTGTGTGCGTGTCAGCAGAGCGTAAAAGTGAAGGTAGACGTGCTCTGTAAAGGTAGTCTGCACACTCCTTCATATGCCACAAGTAGAATAATTTAAAGGCCTAGCATTCCTTGAAGGAATGCACATCACCCCGCCGCCTTTAATGCCTGTTTTATTAAGATCATTTTATGCTGAGAAATGACAGAATTGAAATTATGCAAATAACAATATGCACAACCTCATGCAACATCTGGAGATGTCATGCCAGAGTATGTGCTGTGAAGGAGTCGCAGCTACTACCACATGAGTTTGAGCTCAGTATCTGTTCAATTGATTCAGTTATAGCCATTTTTGTGTTGGCTAGTGTTGATTAGCTGTGGAGGCCATCTTAAACCTTGTTGAGTCCAACATGTAATACATCTAATGTCTACTTTGTGAAAGTTTCATTAAAGTCCTACAAGTGGTTCAAAAGATATTTTGCTAACAGACAAACAGGGTTGACAGCTACAGGTAGTGCTAGTTTTAAGCAAAGATGAATGCAATAGGAGTGTGTATTGTACATGACTCAGCTACTACTACCACACCAAATCTAAGCACAGCCTCTGTTAAATTGCCTGAATAATAATCAATCTTAAATTGAACTGGCTCCAAACATTACTCAGTTGTAAAGGTACAGCAAATTAATATTTCCAGGAAGTTTAAAAAAAAAATTCTGTACAGTGGTTTGAGCTTTTCCGCTAACAGTCAGACAGATGTGACTTCAACTAGTTATGGGTAAAATTTTAAACAAAGGTTAGATCTGTCGGTGCTCGGAATATGTGTTGGGGATTAGTTTCAACTACTGTTACACAAAATTTTAAGTCCATGTCTAAATATCACTAAGATAAACAATGTTTGTGTTTTTAAGGTCATTTGGCTGTGGCAGCCATTTTGAATCCAGCTGACTCTAAGTTATTTAGTTGTAAATGTCCATCCAATGATTACTTTCTGAGAGTTTCTTAAAATCTGTCCAGTAATTCAAGAGATGTAATAGATGAAAACACCCACAGAAACGTGCAAAAACACAATTATTCAAACATTCACGCATCTTCAATCTGCCTGAGACATGCTGTGATTCAATTCAAGGTGGTGCACCGGCTGCACTGGTCCAAAGACAAGCTGTCCAAGATCAAAGCCGACCTGGACCCCGCATGCAATCATTGTAAACAAACTCCAGCTACACTCCTGCATACATTCTGGACCTGTCCCAAACTGCAGACTTTTTGGCAATCTATTTTTGACACCTTCTCTGGGATATTTGGAAAAACTGTACACCCATCCCCACTCATCTCACTGTTCGGGGTGGTCCCCGTGGACACGTCCTCCAGCAAGTATAGGATGTGATTGCTTTTGGCTCTCTTCTGGCCAGGAAAATTATTTTGTGCAGTTGGAAGGACCCATACCCCCCCAGCATATGTGCATTGGATAAAAAAAGTGATGTGTCATATTCTTTTGGAAAAAAATAGCTATACCGGTACCCTGAAGGGTTCTGTTCAAAGATTTTGGAACACTTGGCAGCCTTTTATGTTGTATGTGGAAAACTTGTCAATGCCTGTTTACCGGTAGTTTATTTATGTGTGTGTGACTGATCCGATATGGGAGGGGAATGGTGGGAGGTTTTTTTTTGTTTTATGCATTCTCATTTTTTTGGTTTGTATGTTCAAAAATTAAAAAATCAATAAAAAGACTTTGATTTAAAAAAACAAAACAATTATTCACCTGAAACTATCAATGATGGGTGGGAAATCTTCACAGTTTAACAAAAACAAAACAATTACAGATGTTGGTGTGTCTAAACGTGGAGGGGGAAAAAAAATCATCACTTTCCTGGGATGTCTATTTTTCCATGTTCTACCTTAACACCAATGCAAAAGATAATGCAACTAAGAGACCAACGTTTCTGTTTATCTCGTGTATTATTTATCTGATCTTTGCCGCTGATGTGGGAAAGTACAGACCTCCAGGTTCTGGTTCATTTCTCCATTTTCTCATTAAAAATAACAACACAAAGCGATGGCTGCCAGCAGTCTATAAAATCATGTCAGAAAACATTCTCTCCTCACTAAATCCCAATTTCTGCCTCATGTTCAGCGACTTAAAAGAAACAAGCGGAATAATTGAATGACTGGTTTGAAACAAAGCCGGCATTGTTTGAACGAGAATCAATGTTTGGACTGAGAACAATGCAACCTCGCACTGGGCTCACCGAGGGTTACGTAAGTGTTTACAGCAGCCAGCCTTCTTTCACATCATTAACGAGTTATTTTACAGATGACCATAAAAACATTTTATTAAACAGGTGTAAAGCATGCTTCCAATCTGAATGTGGTTGTGTTTGAATGTATGAACATGCATTTGTTTTCAAACTAGAGTTTATTAACAGCCATTTTAGATGATACAAGTTGAAACATTTATCTGACATCTGTTAAAGAATCATTTAATCCAGACCTTTAACCTTGTTTACGGGAAAGTAAGGGTTAGGGTGCTCAAGCTATACCTCTGATCACCTACTTGCACAATGAATTCAAATCATTATTTTGCTGAGAGGTGAAAGCAGTTTGCCATATTGCTTTTGACAAGTCTCTTTAAAGAAGGTCTGAACTGAAGTCCAACACAGGAGTCAAGGAATAGTAATAATCTTTAGCGTAGGCAAATCTGCTTAACATCAAACCTAATTGATGGTATGCAGAGTCGGATTTGCAATAACATTGGAAAACTTGGCAGCAGGCTGTTTATTCAAGCTAGAGGGACAAAGAATAAAAAAAAAATGTTTCTGAGAGAGACAAAACAAATACTACAGACTAAAAACATCAGTAAAAAGGATGCTAAAAAGGCATTACAATGTAAAAAAAACAACAAAAAAAAAAACTTGCATGCTCTCAACCAATTTTAAGCATGGCTAAAAGCCATTGAACATAAAATTAAAGGCCATGCAAGCCCAGGGAGCAACCACTGTGCAGGAAACTTACCCAGCATTTCCCTACCAAACGCTGATCCTGTTATACAAACATATCACCTCAATTAGCAAAGACAGCTACAGAAATTAGTGACGGTTTAGATTTTTTGAAGTGGGGTTCTGTGGAAAGGTATGAACAATTAACATCTTACCTGTCACAGACAGCTTTTTGAATGAACTCAGTTTGAGGAAATATAATTTGATGCTGACCAGAATTACAAGCTGTAATCTGCAGCCAGCCGGTTGCACAGACTGTCACTACATCACTTCCTCAAGACGTGATGCCAGCTTACCCTTTCCTGTATCGTCCCTTACTCTTACTACTACCTCACTTGGTGGCTCAGAGGTGTATCAGTGTTAGGTTGACGGCATCCTCTCATGTTATTCTTTCATAAATCACTCCAACATGTCAAATAGTTGTCTCAGGCAGGCTTGAGGTTGATCTACTGTGACTCCTTTAAAGCCTCCTGCATCTACTGTCTGATCTTCCCTCTAAGTCCTCCCAAGGAGCCCAGTGAGACTGACCCTACTGAGGTCCTCGAACAGCCCAGCGAAACTGACCCGCTCGAAGTTTCTAATCAGACCGGCGAGGCTGACCATCTCGAGAGCTTCGACCCTTCAGAGAGCTCAGAGCAGCTGAAGACGCAGCCGCTCCGCTTATTCTCAGTGCCTCCACCGAGTCCCAAGCCTCCAGAGACCCCTGTGTCTGCAGCTCATCCTCAGTCCCCAGAGCAGCCAGTCTCAGACCCTCCAACAGTTCCACCGTCTCTGATCTTCCTGCAGTATGTCCAGGGCTGGTCTCAGACAACCCAGGGCCTTCAAGACACCAGGTCACCAGGGACGTCGACACCGCTACGCCGCCTGTCTTTGAGGAGGTCTCTCATGCTTCTGTGTGGACGGTCCCCAGGCTGTCCCTCTGAACTCTGCCTCCTGTGTGGATGGACTCTGGGCCGTACACCTGAACTGTGCCGTGGTCTGGACGGTCTCGGGCCATCTATCTGAACTCTTATCCCCATTGTGAATGTGCCCAGGAATTATTATTTTTTTTTTCTGTTTATTTAAGTCCCAGGAAATTCCTATCGGTTTTTGATTTATTGATCCTTGTTTGTCTTTGTGCCCTCCACCCTTTACTTTCCCCCCTCTGCCCACGCGAGTTAGGTAGTTTATGGGTCGTCAGGGGCCATCCCTTAGAGAGGGGGGTACTGTGATAATTTGTATTTATATTAGTATTTTGTATTATTCCATTAGATTTTGTTTTTTCTTGTGTTAATTTTACTTTCTTGTGTTTTTTTCCTTGTAATTCTGCTCCTGCCCCGCCCAACTGTTTCCAGTTTGTCTCCTCAACAGGCGTTTGGTATTTTTGTCCATAAGTGTCGTCCTTTAAATGTTTGCGTCTCCTGTGTCTCCCTCAGCGGAGCATTAAGTGAACCCTAATGTGCAGACCGTCTCAGTCCTTCCTACGTGTCGCTCCATGCCTCCTGTGTTTATTCCAAGTTCTCTTGTAAGTAGAGTTGGCTGCCTCATCAGCATTTTTGTTATTCCTTTAGTTAATAAATTGTTTTCTTTTACCTGAGTTTCTCTGAGTCCTGCTTGTACCATGGATTTCAAGCAAACTGACTGTGACAAGTCCAGTCAACACTCTGACTAAACTGAGGTTGTTTAAAGAGTCATCTACATCAGATAATTGTTCATAACATTTTTGTGGCAACCCACTTCAAAAAGTTTGAACTATCTCTTTAACTGAAGAACAACGTGATTACACATGACATGTTGGGTGGAAAAAGGTCCCAATCTAAAACTGCCAAACATCAAGCGAGGGGGAAACTCACCGAGTGCAGGAGCCAGCCACGAGCTGAAGGCCACCAAAACTACAAGCTCCATCATACCTGATAAAAAGGAAATAGGAAGTTAGAGCGAATTCACGTAAAACTCACATGAAATAGTAACTGATAGAGATATGAAACGTAAATGCACCACAAGGCCGTTACAAGCAGCATTAGTGAGGTTTTTATAGGAATAATTCACCAAAAAGTGCTATTTCAGTGGTTCCTGTTGACAGGTTCAGGTCTGAACCTCGGAGAAAAACAACTTCACAACTTGAAAATGATTCCTCGAATGTTTCCATTCATGGTAGGAAAGTAATGCCCCATAATCAGATCTGAAAGTTTATCAAGATGTGTCTTCACAATCTGGTCTCCAGTCTCTGAGTAGAAGAAGAGGGTCTATTTTTAGGTTCTGCACCCCAGAACATCTCTTTAGGCAGTGGAGAGGGGCAACTTAAGGGTGGTGTTAGGTTGCAACTGTTATTTGCTCACTGGGCTTTGCTTTTGGTTTTGCTGGCTCATCAGCATTGGGGCACAAGATTCTCAGAGTTGTTTTTCTGTCTATATATTATCAAGGCCATGCTTTGGGATTCTCTTACACCCATAAGATGACAGGCTGAACTATCACAAACAGACCACCTTTTGCTTTTGGACACATAAGCTGAAGACTTGTTTTAAATTTAGAGACTACAAGTTAGCTCACTTCACAGACAGATTACACCAAGACATGAAAACACAAAAGCAAAACAGGTACTGGTAGATATAACTTGGCTCTACACAGTTACAAAAAAAAAAATCTAAGCCATGAAATTATCTTTTTTTTTTGCACTGCACAGATGAAAGCCGCTTTCAAGCGGAGCCAGTGGTTTCCTCCTCGGCCCAGGGCACTGTCAAAGATTCATGCACAACTAGTGTGGGGGTGTGAACGTGGAGATGGAGCGGAGAGAAATGAACACTTCAGCCCTGGAAGCAGGATTAACAACAAAGCACTGCCAATCAGGTTTAATCAAACAAAAACAGGGCGAGCTATTCGAACAAGAAGCACTCCAGTAATCTTGTTTGTTAGCCTTCTGAGCGAAGTAGCAGAAAAGAATAAACAGACAGAATAGAAGCCCTTAAAGCAGCACTTAAGTGAATTATAATGGATTATTATGATCGAGAGTTTATGCTTAGAAAATCATGCTTTTGCGTCATAATGCTTATATTATTTAGTGCATAAACTTTAAGAGATAACACAGAATCAGAAGTGTTGTTCTGCCAAAACAGATATGTTATTTCATGAATTTAAGCTTTTGTTTAACAAAGAGCACTGAAACACTTACGATATGGCAAGCCAAATTATCATATAATAAAGTTTTTGAAGTTAACATTATTTTTTGCAAAAATGAACATTTCATCAGTCAAGAATGCAATTTGTTTCACCTAGTATCAACATGTAAAAGGTCATATTCTCAGGACAAATGATGCTACTTTCTACTTTCATATCTAGTGAGATTTTATTTCCTAGAATATTCTTATCTAAACTGAAGGTTATGGATAGCAGAAAAATAATACTAGGAGAAAGTGCCCTGATGCATCCACAATAATCTAGGTAGATAAATCTAACAGGTTGAGTCAGGCCCTCTGGAAGGATTCTACTTTGTTGAAACATTTCGTCTTTTATTCAAAAAACTTCTTCAGTCTGAGGAGATGCAACTCAGGTCTTATATTCAGGACCCTCTCATGGTGGATCAACCAGTCTGCTGGTGACATCCAGAACTAGCTGTTCACATGCAAAAAGAGTACCATTAGTCTAACAATTGGTGGTTAGTGCACTGATGGCCTCTTGCTATTCACAGAGGGTTGAGTGACATTTGCAATAACAGCATTGTAAGAGGGGACCGTTGAACATGGAGGCCTCTGTCCTGTTTAACAATGGGCAGGTTCTTATCATAAAGATGGCTTCCAGCACAGAAGAGCAACATCATCAGGCCAGGACTCTGCAGTCTACGCTCATCTCCAGGCCAGCGGTCACTCTTTCAGGGATGAAGATGTGCACATTCTTGATAGAAAGGAACAATAGTTTGAGAGAGGAGTGAAGGAGGCCATCTTTGTGAAGAGAACCCGTCCATCGTTAAACAAGGACAGATGGAATCTACGCACAGATTTAATTATGAATGTAATTTTCTTGTGACCTTTGCGAGAAATGTTTTGGTGGAAAAACAGAATAAGATTAGATTTATAGATTTGATTTGTGATATAATGGAATAAAATTTTTGTAGAGCTGTATAAATAAATTAACAGCAGCAGTATATTATATTATGTGCCAAAGAGTGTTCTCTGTGAGAATACTTGTGTGTCATCAAACAAGAATTTCTCACAATTTACTGTTTAATTTTCTTTGTTTCAACTATTGACCATATCTTGTGGTTAAGAAGAAAAAAGTCTCAGTGATGAATATTCAAACAACATTTTATTAACAAAGTAAAAATAACACTATATGAAAACTTCAGGGTAAAAACATGAATATATGAAAAGTTAAGAGTTTACAAACAACTTAAGAACTGGTGCTTGACTTCATCAGCTCTTCAAACGTGACATTAGAATTTCATATAAAAAATAAAATTTACTGAGTAGCTGTGTCATTAAGGCCTAAAACGCTGTTGGACAGACTTCTGTTGTTCCAGTGTCTCCACCGCCTGTCGGAGGAACTCCTCCACCTCGTCATCCACCCTCCTGCGTTTACGAGTGTTGGATGTTGTAGGGGTGGATGTAGAGGTCTTTCTCTATCTCCACTGGGTTAATCGTTGGGCTGAAGCTCGGCTTGCTGCGTCCACATTGTCACTGCACTCATCTGAACCACATAAAATCAACAAATTAACATCATTGCATTATATTTACTTTATGGCTGTTGTTTTGGTTACCATCATCTTTGTTACTACTACTATCTTACCTGCTGTGGTGAGAAACTCACTGGATTCTACTAGTTGTCCTTTCACTATGCACATTTCTTAGACACACTGGTCACTGGAGTTGTAAGAGAGTAGTCTGGCCATAGTTTAATGGTGCTTAACTGTGATTCTAATGATAGTTCTGGGGAAGCTTTAAAAATTCAGCCAACGAGGTCTTAACAAAATACAAACGGGAGGCACAGAATAATTTTTAGTCACATTTTATAATAAATTTGTTGTTCTGAATAAACTGTTCGACTACACACAAAACTTTCCATTACTTGTTTTATCACTACCACTGACCACCGCTAATAACAACAGACCTCTACGTGGTATTTCATGCATTCAAACCGTGTTTTAACATGTCCACTTATAAACATTAGAAAAATACTATCTGTTAGACAGAGTAATGTAAAATAAGTAACAAAACTGCTATTAAAAGTAAAAGTAAGAGTTTTACTCACTGTTGTAGTGTGAAGCCGCCATCTTGAATTCTGAACTGGGAATTGTTGGATCTCTCCAACTTACCAACTGAGAATTCCCACTTCAGGGGATGTTCCAGTTGACATTTACAACTCGTAAGTGGGAAATTCCCATTTCCCAGTACAACTGGAACGCATCAGACCCACAGAGAACACAGTGCACCACACAAACACTTGGACCCCCAGGTCTGAGTGTTTGCGTGGCGTACTGGAGAACTGCTGTAGTAAAAAAAAAAAGGTTTGTAGGCTCAATCATCCAGGTAGATAACAAAAAAAGGTTAAATCATGTAATCTGGAGTACTTCTTCCAAGTTTGCAATCCCTTTGGGGTTGATGTCTTAGTTGGAAAGTGCAGAAAAACTCAAGCAACTTCAATAAATTGCCCTAATTTATATACCACAAACTCTGGATGAGCAACACCAGCTTCTATAACCCTAGCTTGTTCCAAAACATCTCTAAACGGTTCACGAGAGAGCTCACTGAGGTCCTGCATGGAGAGCCACCATGCCTGAACAGACATCAGACTAAAGCAATGGATTTCACAGGATCAGCATTAGCCCCGTGCAATTATTTAATGAAACAATTATTTATTTTGTTATGTATTTATTTGGTCACTTTTAACCCTACAACACTGTGATACAACCTCTAATGACTATCAAAGTTTATTATGACCCCTCTAAAGGAAACTTCATGTTTGGCTTCAGTTTTGAATGAAGGAGAAGCGGAGACGCATCAACCATAGACATATATGTAGATACCTCATTGAGCAGGTCGGTTCATTGCAGCTGTATGTCAGAGTAGGAATGTGCAATATGGCATAAAATTCATATCACGATATGTATTGTGAAGGGTGGCAATAACAATATGTATCGCGATATGGTTTTGGTATAAAACGCAATAGGAATAAAAAAAAGCATAAGGTGTCCTTATATATATATATATATATATATATA